ATTCTCGAAAAATAATATGGAATAGGTATGCAAGCGGTTATATCTATGGGTTCCAACAGCCCTTGAGATACAAGGACATCAAGGTGATCTTAAACGAGGAAAGGGTTTAAGTTTAAAATTTTAAGAAATTGAGATCACGCACAAAGTAAAAATATTGTTATAATTTCGCTCGGATTCAAATATTGATCTAGTATATACGAATGATATACTGCGAATACTGTATATACGAATGATATACTATACTGACCATTGTACTAAAAGTATCAAAATACCATTAATATCTGTTGAGTATTTGTCACCCGAAAAAGTCATTGTACCAAAAAATCCTGCGATTGGTGTTGTCACATAGTTGCCTTACCTCATCGAGGAGTTCCTGCTCGAAGTTTTCAAATAGGCCACGTTTGCCTGTAAATAGAATAAAGAATGAAGACAGTGCAAAGATCACGCTGCTGCAACTGAAAATGAAATGTGTATTCATTTTCTACAATTACTTCATGTATATTTAAACTGCATTTACCGTAGATTTAAAGAGAAAGAGTAATTCATCATAAGTTCTTTTAAAAATAATATTTGCCCGACTTTTACAGTGTGTAGAGACGGGTGAGCCAATTAAGTAACTAGCAGCATGGTTAATGCCTCATCAGAAATTACAAAGAAACACATAAAAACATCGCTAATAATAGGACGCCGAAGAAATACCCAAAGGTTGATTCAGCACCAGATTGACATTTATCTCTTTAAATTATATCTTGATTAAGAAAGAAACGCAATGATAAGAACAATTTTATACTTACCGAAAATCCCGGCCACCCAGTAAGTGAAACCAGAGAGCTGATCTTGCAGACTACTCATAATGGCCTTGGCATCGGCCAGGTACTTGCCACCAAGTACCTTCAGCTGCTCGGCCAGTTCTTGGGCCTGTTCAAGAGAAGCCTTGCTGTCCTTAAATTAATAAATGATTAAGTTGTTAGAGGAAATCGTGGTCTTAGCAAACTATGCGTATTATTTGGTGATGTAAAATTCTGAAACCAATTAATACTTAAAGAAGACATAAAAGCAAATAATTTACTACGTACAATGTTAATACCTATTTTTGATAATTAAGTTTATTTTCTGTTCATTTAACTTTTAATGATAATTCTCAAAATCATTTTAACGGACGTATAGATTCGCAAACATACGTGGTGTGTTTTTGCTAGGGCTGAGTTTATCTTATCGGTGACATTCTTCAGTTTTTCCACCAGGGCCTGTCCAAGGGCAGTCTGAGTTGTCCTTGCAAGTCTGTAATTAATACGATAAAATTTCTTACATCTTCAAGAGTATCAGTAATGGATTATCTCAATAGTAAAAGCAAAAGAATGACTACGTACATCCGAGATGATATGGACCACATAAACGACAGCTATTCAAAAACTTATTTCCAAGGAGAAACAACTTAAATATTTTAATATTTAAGTTATTTCTCCTTGGAAATAAGTTTTTGATTTTTAATTAAAATTACAAAGCAACTGCGATACATGTAGATTGCGCATATTGGTCACGATTATATGACGGCTGATACGTGGTTAAGTTGGTAAGTGACGATTTAGATTCTAGAAATAGTAACTGTTACTTACGGGTTAGTATCACGAATATGACGTGGTGAGTTGATTTCACTCACGAGAGCCGAAATCTCATTGTCCAGATTCACTGCAAAAAATGTGAATAGTCAGCAGGCATTTAGCTAATGACACATCGTGATCGTGGCTTTAAGAATGCTATCTATTTTTTTGCTTAAAAACAGTAACGGATAGTTTTAAATGATTTGAACCATCCACGGATTGCTGTTTGCTATGAACAGATTAGTTCTAAGACACCAGTGCATATGTTACTATGAACATGTAACAGAAAAAACAAAACTTAATGAACACTTACGGCGAACGAAATCCGCCTGAGCACCAACAAAGGCGGCAACAAGTACAAATAACAAGACCTTCATAATTGCTGAAATAAAACAACTAACATATAAACTCAGGGATACTCACAGATTCAAAACATTTGGCAGATTACATCTGAAAATCTTTTATGCCACACGGGTTCCCAAAAGGTTGTAAGTTTCCAATAAGAATAATTTCTGATATCCAAAACCCAAGGCATTCTATTCCAAACTGCAGAATGACATCAGGTAACTCAATAAAACGACAAGAATTTATAATTTTTAATTTACTAGGTAACTTTATGACCTCAACTTTGCTGCCCGAATGAATATATGGAGTGAATTGCCACAGAACCACATTGGTTTTTATAGTTTTACAGTGTGAGAGTGCACGGTATGTGTCTTATCTTACGTGACGAGGTGGGAGGCAGAGCAGGACAGGAGGCGTCACCTTTCAACACGCATTTAGTACAAGACGTGATTAGGGGTGTGTATTTGGAATTACGATGACTGTTAAGAGACACATATTCTCCCTACTTATAAAGTACTTATCATACTTAGAAGTCTATTACCACTTTGATTTAGAAATGTGCCCTTTGTCTTTCTTACATATTGTATTCGCTCATTGGTTTCTTGGCAGGAACATTCTGTAATCTTTCATCTTCTCATACTCAGCTTAGCAGGTCCAGTACATGATCTTTAATCGACGATATACTTCATATTCACTGGGGTCAGAAACTAATGAAAACTAGAGAATCAGAGAGGCGATACTGCCTCCGGGTATTGTACCACAAGCTGGAGTAAGCGCATTCGTATGGAAAACAAAGAAAAACTTGTGTTGAAAATAACAATTTATAACAAACTCATGGGGAAAAGTAAAAGGTCAAATCCAAATTTGTGAAGTGCGGTTCATAGCAAAAAATAGGTCAAAGATCAAATTCAAGGTCCCAGAAAGACGGTCAATATATGAGTTCCTACTCAAGTTCAGTAGTATCTATGTGCATATCTCTGCCAGTTTTGGAGATATAAGGGACCCCATTCCCGGTTATGCTTACATGATCATTATTCACTTTCACACGTGTTGTGATAGGAAAGTTGCCAAAAACCAACTTGCCTATCTGCTGTCTTCATGTTATATGAGAATCTTGTCTTTACTCATTATACGGCCCAGCAAGCCTTGCAGCCTATCCGGTACATCATTTGAACTCACCAATCTGCAAGTAAGATGCAAAATAGGATGGCATGGCAATTATAAAGAGTTCACTTTTCCAGCTGTTTTCAACACATAGGAAAAACGGAATGCCCCTTCCTTTGTTACAAAAAAAAGGGAGTAGGGGTTAGGTCACCCGCTAACAGCATTGCGACAGAAAAGTTGCAAAGTTCAGTTCATGGTGAAAAGTAGGTCAAACGTCAACTTCAAGGTCACAGTTAGATTGCCAGTATATGACTTCCTATTAAAGTTTCACAGTAACTATGGGTGTATCTCTGCTAATTATTTCACATTTTATTTTCACCTCTGAATATTGCAACGTTGTACTCTTTGATATGGCACAACTCGCAAATTGTATGAAAAAAACGGATACCACCCCCAGTGTTGCTCTCGACAAGCTTAATACAATGCACGAAACAAGAGATTTCTACATCCAGAATTACTGCAAGTAGTATCAAATCAATTGAGTTATGGGGTGCTTACTCCTAAAATAAAGGCTACAGACGAGAACGTGAGACAAGTTTTTATTTTTTTCTTTAGGGAGAGGAAGATGGCTTTGAGAGAGTATTTCAGCAGGTGTTTATATTTTGTATTTAGCTTTTCTATAAGAGGCCATGGCGGACTAGAAGAGTGATACACATGAATCAGCATCTGTAATGCGTGGCTTTTGACAGCGCAGAAAAGGCTTTATCCATTTTTGAAATAGCTAAAACAATAAATATCTGCTTTAAAGGAAAAAGAAGAATATTTCTTTGGTTTTGGGGTAACTGAACAAATGTTGAACTGTAAAATTTGTAATTACAATATCAAGGACAAGATTTTAAAGATCATGCATATTAAATAATGATGCACATATTTCATATTAAAGAAGAACTATTCTTACATAGGTGAATCAAATTTGTACATAACATATACTGTGTGCATTGTCCTTTTCATTTCTTTCCTGTTGCTTTGACTGTTTGATAAAGTTACAGGTAATCTATGAAAATTTTGTCTGCCAAAACAAACAGTTTTTTTCTCCTACTCACATATCATTGTTCAACCCTTCCCTGTACTTGGATTGGATGTTTTAATCCATTTTAATCTAATAATTTAGTTAAAATTGACTGGCCAGTCCAGTCATTTAGATTAACATTTTCTGTAATAACATTAACAATTCCCTTCCAACCATGGTCTTTTCCACTTCATACCTCGAAAAATGGCACAATGCTTTGTAGTGTGGCCTTGTATAATGTTCAATTAAACCACAGATAATTTTCTTGAAATTACAAGATGACATGGCTACTACCTTGGCTGAGAAGATAATATTAGTGATATTAGGTACACTTCAGATTAACTTTTATTTAAGGAGTCTCTAAGGTCTGGATGGGTAATATAAAAAGTTTTGCAGGATAATGAAATTCTGTTGGGTCATTTTTCAAATGTGGGTAAAAAACGTTTATATATATAATTGCAACTAAAGTCAAGGTATAGATACTCTGATGTGCAATCTGTATTCTATCATTCATACGGAATAATGTGTTCTGCCAGCTGGTTGAAATATTTTGCAGTGTGATCTTTTTCAATTATTTAAAAGTGGTAAATGTGCAGCAAAGTTGGCAGTTTTAGTCAGCTTTTGTGCAACTGCTTTTCATTTCATTAATTATTATGGTAGTAATGCAGCCTGTGCAATAGTACTGGTAGGAATAATTGTTCATGACAAGTATTGGTGCGATAAGTCCATAAATGTATTGAACATGGAACAAAAGATAAAAGAATTTAAATCCTGTTTTATTTCATGCCATCTTGTATTCAGTCAATGTTAAATGCATAATGGTCAGCAAGATATTAAAAAAATATCTAAATTCAGGAATGTTCTTGTTGTTTTTTTTCGTCTTAGCCTATGTTCTTAATAGCAGTTTCCAACTGGCCCCACAAATCGCCCAGATCATTCTTGTAGGCTTTAACCACCTCCTGCAGCTCCTTCAACTTGGCTTCTCCAGCTTCTTGAGCATTGTCAAGAACCTAGTAATACACCATGGGAGTATAAATGTAATATATAGAAAAAAAGAGTCTCTATATAGTAAGGCATTTTATACTTAGGGAATTAGCATGGCCAATGGTGTTGGATGGCTCTGGGTGTTGGATGTTGGATGGCTCTGGGACACTATAATCTAGCATGGCTGCAGTATGACCAAATAAAATAAAATAAATAAATCTATGCTTAAAATGACATAATGCCTACATGAAATGTTAATCCCAGGGTAAATACAAATACAGTTTTTTTCTTACTGCTTTGAATATTCGTCTGCTATGAAAATTGAAACCTAAGCAAGGCCCAAACATAACACTTCTGTTATGTTGGGTTCCAGACCTAAGCATACATGTTTTCAAAATGATTCAAACAAGTACAAAGTTTACTTACGGTCTTTGTCATGAGCTTGACGTTCTCCAAGTGTCCTCTGGCTTCCTCCACTCCATCCCCAAGTTTTTCTTTGACGAAGGCAGCAAGGTCTTCGTATTTACCCTTGAACTTTGCAAATACTGACTGCAAGCTGTCCACAAATTTAGCCCAGAGGGCTCTAGTCGCTCGCTTTCCTGAAGATGTGAATATAGGAATAAAAAAAATGGGGAAAATTTCAGTTTTGGACATGTTACGGTTGCTTTGTTGCCCATTTTCCATTTCATGGAAAAAATTATTTCATGGTTGCTGGTGGGGTGGGCAAGGGTAATGCATTTCAAGTCTAAAGACATTTTCAAACCAAGAGAAGAGGTGCACATCTTTTCCAAAAATTCCCTGGAGATGGGACTATTATTGCTTACATAAGATGTAATTGGGGCAAATTAAACTCGTTCTTTTATTCATTTTTTTTTTATTTTGCAAACATCTTTTAAAATTAGTTTCAAAAGCATTGCATTGTGCAATTGTTAAAACATCCCCCCCTGTAAAGTCTTAAGTAAATTGTAATTTTTGGAATTAATAAAATGAAAATAAAACTATAAGATATGCCAATCAAGTAAATACATTGTAGTAAATCTATAAAACAAATACCAAAACATACCGAAAATTCCCTTGAAAAACCCGAAAAAGTTGTCAAACATAGATTTAAATGCTTTATAGAAGTTCTCTCTAATGCCCTGTAATTGTTGAAGAGTGCTTTCGATGGCAGTCTTGGCGTCAGCTGTGAGTTTGCTAAGGATGTTCTTGGCGTCGTTGTAAGCTCCTCTGCCTTGTTCCCTCAACAGTTCGGTGTAGTTAGCGACCTTCTGCACCATGTCGTCAGTAACCTGAAGAAAGATCGATGTTAGGCGATCTATGCGATCATTTATTAAAACTGTCTTGTTCCTTATTTGTTCTTTACTTGCTATAGACTAATTGTCACGTTTTATAAGCTGTTCTGAAAACAGAAATTTAGGAACGTGAAAGATAATAGATTTATAATCAACAGTCAAAAAGGAAGAGCATAATGTTTTATAAGTCGCAGCAAAATGCGGTTAATTCACTTTTTTGTTGAAGTATAATTTTAAATGCTTATAAAAACAACTAAGATACCTTAGCTCTTAAAACAACAAAATATGTAAAACGTTAACGAAAAGTATTCCTCGATAACCGAAAGTCAAAAAAAGAATATGCTGATGATAAGTCGAAAGTATTAAGATGTAAAAGTCGCATATAAATGTGTTTTCTTCATATTTTGTGTTAAAAACTTAATCCCACAGCTTGTAAACACTGTGATACCTGCTTTCCGTGTGCAACGGCTTCGTTTATTTGGTTAACAGTTGTCTGGAGAGCAGACTCCAAAGCCTTTCCAAACTCGGTCTGAACAGCACGAAGGACGCTGCAAAGCAAAATGTTTTAAACCGATAAAAACACTTTTAACTTTTTATATTCATGACACAACTATTTCATTATGTACAGAAATAGTTAATTAAGAATAGATTATAAGGCAGAAAACCTCAATTATCTCTCTTGATCCAGTCATTGGCATGCACACCACCAAATTCGAGTTATGTCCAAAAATATGTCAAAAAATCAGAAAAATACTTACGCTCTCTTCTCTTCGTCCAAATCACGCTTGCTGATCTCTTCATCAAAAACGGACCTGAAAGCACGAACTGCAGCCTGGATCTCGTCTTCAACTGCAGCTGAAACATTATGATATATATTAAGAAAGTGTACATCGTATGCAGTCACAACGAGTGGTGTCTGCGTGTACCACATAGGGCCTACCCATTCACAACTAGGAAGCAATGCTGGCAAATATATAGACAACAATCGCCTATTCTCCCACAAACAGTGTACCAGCGAAAAACAGATACCTCTTAGTCGAGGACCTGCATAATCTACTGACAAATGTCAAACAAAATGAAATGGCTTTCAAAATGTGTTTCAATATATATATATATATATATATATATATATATATATATATATATATATATATATATATATGCTTTAGTATATTATCATCCAGATACCGAAAATGAGGTTTTTCTTACATTTAATTATTCAGTAATGCATCTATCTTTGTGCAGATTTAAAACAATAAAAAACCATCGAATATATTTCTCGTCGCAATGTAGCTTTAATCATCATTTTAACAGTTTTCTATTTTGAGGTGAGATAGCAATCGGTATGGAGCATAACTTCATCCCTGAAAAAAGTTTTATCCGGAAAATTAGCAGAGTTGAGTGTATGGGCTACTCTCCCGTGCCGTCATTTTGGTTTGAATGTTTTTGTTATGGAATTAGCCTAATTACAGATTTTCATTAAACAAAGGCATTATTTTGCTCTATCAATGATAAAATATTACCTAAGACAGGTAAGAAAAATTGCTGGCAGGCTTTTGGAGTACTAAATGGTGTCATTAAATCGGCGTTGAAACGATGAACGTGGGTGCTCAGGTAAAGGAGAAATTTGAGAAACCGAGTTTTCAGTTTTTGCTCCAAAATCGCAATCATGGCATCACCCGTAATATGACATGTGTAAATGTTTATCAATTTAGTCACTGAACACCAAAGATTTATCTATTACCCAAAAGAATGTATGTAAGGCAGTAAATAAGGAGTTTTGAGCGAAGGGTGACACTATCCTTAAACAATTCTTTGATTAGTGCTTCGAAACATGCATTTGAAAGATATGATGAACTAAAAGGTACAATTTTTAGGAATAATTTTCAGTGCGTAACCACTTATTTGTACGACAGCAAATTTGGCAAGCGTAACAAAATCATTCTCATGCCACTCCCTTGTATTTTATAACCTCATGGCGGCTATTTTTTTAATTTATTTATTTACTTGATTTTATTATATTGTAAAATAAAGTTTTGCCGAAAAATCCGAAACTTGTACACTTGTACGACCCTGTCATACTGTAATTTGTATAGTCAACGTTTCCATGCAAATAATGTTAATCATCTCATATCAACATCAGGAACGACACTCATGCAGAAGGTTGCAGGAATTGATAACATAACTGCTTTTACAAGGCAAAAGATTCTCGATATTATATATTTTGCTTATTTTATTGGTTTAATAAATCATTATCTTATTAGTACATGTATTTCATGCGACAAGGCCATGCCTCCTAGGTAGAAAAACATATTTAGTTCTTTAGATAAGATTTCCCTTATTTTATATCATTAAACAAATAATTTAAATAAATGGATTTCTGGCACCTAGACTATGTAGATAGCAACTCGTCTCTTTACCAAACAAAGCCACGCAGTAAATTTAATTTGAAACAAAACTTTGGTTTGGTACTTATGGGGGCAAACATAAACTGCCAAAATTTTACAAAAATATTGTAAAATCTGATTATGCAGATTTTCAGAAACAACCTGCCTTTTTACCAAACAAAGCCACTCGGCAAAAAAGCAAAACAGAATAACGGTCTGTCACTTAAATATGAGGTAAACGTCACCAAAAGTGTGAAAAAAAAAACGGAATATTTACCGTAAATCTAAACCGATCATGCTGATTTTCGAAAGCAACCTCCTTACTAAACAAAGCCACTCAGTAAATTTAAAGTAAGACAAAAATATAGTTTGGCAGTTATGAGGTGAACGTCATTGTCGGAAAGCGACGGCGACGACACGGACGACACGGACAGACAGACCAATCAGAATATACACTGTAGGTGTCTGTATATATAAATGATAACTTCCGAAAACGAGTATAGAAGTGAACCTACAGTATGCACCTTTGAAAAAGAAGCAATAAAGGATAAAAGTAAAAAGAAACAGGGCTACTTGCCATGTGATCACAAAGATTCTACTCTTAAAAACATGACTTCATCCATAAAGGGCTAACGAGCGTGTTCACCATAAGACTAATACATACTAATAGTATTTACTTGTCTTTGAAAGATTGACTTTGAATTCAATCGTCAAGATACCGTGTCGGAGTTTCAAGAGTAAAATTTAAGTAACGTTTTAACCAACATTTTTGTCTCATTAGAGGAAGCGCGTACCTGGTTCAGGGGGTGGAGTAGTCCCTGTCAGGGCGATGTGTTTGGCGATATTGGCGGCATTCACGACTTGGCCCCAGAGGCTTCCAAGATCCTGCTTGTAGGGTCTCAAGAACTCGACAACCTCTTCGGTGACGGCCAGGCTAGCATTCTTAGCGTGCTCAAGGTACTGAAAGTGATATTTGGATTTCAACATTTTGATGTTTTAATAGGTCGTATATATTTTAAATGATCCCTTAAGTGGAACAGACCTCCATAAAGCATTTATAGCAAGTTGGATTTATATAAACACAAATGCTTTTTGGTGGGAAATTTGTCTTGTACATTTTAACACCTATGGCAACACGTTGAAAAAATACCTCTTGTGCAACAAGTTTGACGTTATCGAAGTGTCCCCGCACTTTTCCCCACAGGTCTCCTGCGTACTGCTGCACAAAAGCTGAAAGGTCACTGAATTTGGAACCAAAACGTCCTAGGAGTCTAGACAAAGAATCCTTCAAATTCGCCCACCAGTCAAGAACACCACGGTCAGCTAGAACCAGGGCGACGGTCTAGAATATAAATACAGGTAAGTGTAAGTTTCTCGCCAAATAATATTGAATACGAATGAGAAAATGTATCAAGAATATGCTAGCGGTGTATGTCTATGGGGTCCAGGGACCCTTGAGATACAAGGATAGCAGGTTCATCTAAAACGACGAAAAGGTTTAATTATTCATTACTTGATAATAAAAATTGTGATCACGTACAGAGACGAATGATTGCTAAAAATATTCACTCGGATTAAACGATTCAGTATTGATATAGTATATACTAGTATATACTATTATACAATATTGATATACTGTTTTTGAAAAATGGATAACTTATATTGACAATGACCATCAAACTAAAAGTATCAAAACGCCATCAACATGTTTGTTTCTAGTATTTATCGCGCTGCACATAGTTGCCCTTACCTCATCGAGGAGTTCTTGCTCGAAGTTTTCAAAGAGATCACGCTTGCCTGTAAAGTGAAGAAAATGTAGAGATTACGCAGTTGTTGAAAATTAAATGTACGTGCAATTACTCCATTTATTCCACTTGTACTTAAACTTTAAGCTGCGTTTACCTTAGATCTAAAGAGAAAGAGCAATTTCTCATAAGTTCTTTTAGAAAAAAATTTGCCTAATTCTTAGAAACAAATTGTAGAGACGGATGAGCCAAGAAAGTGGCCAGGAGCATAGTTAATGCCTCGTTGAAATTGCAAAAACGTCACTCTCAGTATAATAGGACGCTGAAGAAATACCCAAAGATTCATTCAACACCAGATTGACTTTTACCTCTTTAAATTAGATCTTGATTAAGGAAGAAATGCAATGATAAGAACAATATTATACTAACCGAACATCCCGGCCACCCAGCCAGTGAAACCAGAGAGCTTATCCTTCAGACTGCTCAAAATGACCTTGGCATCGGCCAGGTACTTGCCACCAAGTGCCTTAAGCTGCTCAGTCAGCTCTTGGGCCTGCTCAAGGAGGGCCTTGCTGACCTTGAATGTTAATTATTTGTTAGAGGAAATCGCCGTCTTAGTAAAGTAGGCCTACGCGTATTATTTGGTGATTGAAACCAATTCAACCTTTAAAAAGACATAAACGTAAATCATTTACTACATACAACGTTAATACCTTCTGTTCATCTATTTTTTAATGATAATTCTCAAAATCATTTTAATGGGACGTATACACTCGCAAACGTACGTGGTGCGTTTTCTCTAGGGCTTCGTTTATCTTATCGGTAACATCCNATTTGCTAATGAGGGTCCATTACCTAGACGCGGAGATAGATTTAGCGTGTCCGGATTCTCGGGGCTTACCCATCGAACAGGTACAATTTAAAGTTGTGTATTTTCACATTTTTATCTTTGAATGAAGTGATGAATAATTGATAAGGTTCGATTGAGTGGTGATTGACATTACGCGATTGACGTGCTTTTTTTTTAGAAGACAAGGTGTCGTCTGCTGTCTAAATTTTCTGCTCAAAGCTTTGATTTTCTTTGAGAAACTAGGCCATTTGATGAGTTGAATTTTGAACTACTAAAAGTGTACGTCTTATGTAGGGTCAAAGTTCAAATATAATACAACAGAAAAAGAATTTGAATTCAAAGGTACAACGAAGCAACCCCCCCCCCCTTCAGTCCAGTGGCACCCTCGCATGCCTTGCAGAGCACACGGTGTGATGTATACATTGTTAGCGTCACTCAACCTCTTAAGTGTTACCACTCATATATGTCTAAGGCTCTGTTCTCACAACTTTTAGATCGATCTATCACTGCGGGGAGTCTCACTAGATTACTGTCAGATAATCCCCCTTAAGTGTCCGTCCCCGCCTACTACAAGCTTTAAGGGGTAATTAACTTTCGTGTCCGCCCGGCTGACAGCTATTTAGCGTGAACCCCCAGGGAGTTAGGTCGATCCAATGTAGGTCGATCTAATCTATGAGAATGGGGTGTAAATTAAGAGGCATGTGGACAAGAGGAACGCGATACTTGGTGGCGTCCAGTACTCGAGCACTTGACAATTTGAGGAAGCAAACGGCAGCAAAGTGACCAACATGATTGCGGACACTTGTTGACCGAGGAAAGCGTGTGGTTTGGTGGGTGGATTTGAGGTATTGGGCAAAAGAATTGTAGTTGTTCTTGGATAAAGTTGCGTGTTTTTATCCATGTTTCTTAAAATTGTATCAGTGTGTAGCTAAATTTTGTGGGGATGTTGATAAAAAATGCATTGCCTGTACACTGCTGAGTGAGAGACTAAAGTTTTATCTCATTTTATTAATATCAGAATTGTAAGAATGGTAAGCTTCTTATCACGCCGTTAGAAGGTAGCGTGGGCGCGCGTTATTTCCCGCCTAAAATTAGCAGACGCAGATCACTTTAGCTTGTTGATGCATACAGTCAATGTAGTTAATGGGGGATATACATGCACATGTAATCAATATACTCACCTTTTCTTGCAATAATAATGTTCGAATATGCATGCTCACAAAATTGCGTTATTGTTTTCATTTCACGTGGACTAAATTGTCGAATATTATTAGCATGTTTATAGAATAAGCTAAGGTGAAACTAATGTCCGAGTTTGTTTGCGTTCCGAAATGTAGCTACACAAACATGAGTTTCATAAGCAAATGTAATCAACTTGTCTCAGTTTGGTCACGGCGTTATAATTAGGTATAAGCACAAGACAAGAAGTTAGATATGCTCGAAAAGGACCCCAAATTCGACGGGAGAACATTGTATATTTTTTGTGTGGCTGGGGATATTGTAGAGCATTTAACACTCAAAGCTTTATAATGAATTTTATAAAAGCATTGAACCTATAATGATATTTCAAAAAGGAAAGTATGTTAGTTAGTTTTCTAGTTAGTTAGTTAGTTAGTTAATAGTTAGTAGGTTAGAAAGTTAGCTAGTTATTTAGATGAATATCCGCGCCAGACCATCTGTATTTTGGCAGCCAGAAGATTCCCAGAACTGATGAAAACGAGAACGTATTTCATCTGAAGGGCAGAACTTTCTAGAATATGGAGACAATCAGGGTCATCTTGACCCAAGTCCGGCGATGAAGAGAGCATTCTTGGACAGTGTATAATAGCCAACTGTCATGGAGTTGCTCTCTTTACCGACTGTGGCTAATGACGTCACGCCAAATAGTTGTCACCGAAACCGCCAATCGCCATAATCAGCAAACTAAAGGTAAGGTAGAGAGATTTTTCATTAGCTTTTTTCAAAAGCGTATACATATATCAGCATACAGAGGCAAGACAGCACTACTGGTACTAATGGCATAACAATATGACAATAAAGAAGTCCCTTGACATAGACATAAAATATAACCTGCACATTATTTAATGTGCCACAGATGCAACAGAGAGAGAGAGAGAGAGAGAGAGAGAGAGAGAGATTATTTATTTTTTCTCGAAATGCCGTATTAAGTAATGCCCAGCTTGCAAAAAAATCAATTTTATTCCAGGATAAATCTGTAGTAGTAGACTAAAAAATAAAGTAACTATAACATTAGCCACTTTTGTTAAAAGAGTCGCGACATTCTCAGTAAGTCGACTACAGCCTAAATTAATCAGACCCAAAAATTCGAGTTTTTAAAAACGTCTAGGCCAGCCAAAGCTCTTCGTGAAACCGTCCCCAGCATCAACGCTGTAGGTAGGTAATAATATCGCACGGCTAATTCACTCTTCATTCAACCACCTGTTTGCTCAGCAAGCCGCCGGCTTTACATATAATGCGTTATTTGCTCCTGTGTAAAGCCAGTGCATAGAAAACACTACTAATATGTTGGGCTGCATTTGCCGCCTTATTGGTCGAAGTGAATTGACCAACGCCATAGCGTTGATTCTCATAGACAACTGAATTGTACTGGAAAGGGGGCGTTGGTCTGTAAAAATAAATATATATAACACTGTAAAGACCACACACATAGAGGGAGTGAATTTAGTATGACCAAGCGTATGTTTGCCTATATTAAGGCGTTCAGAATGATGAAGCTCTACCTGTAAGACTGTGCCTGAAAATTAGCTTCACATTGTAAGGATGTCACCTGGCTCCATTTATTTTATATTTTCTTTGTTCAACAATTTAAATTAGCACCGATTTTTAGATGGACATAGATAATCTTTCTTCTATGTGTATATATAAAACTGTGTTGGTAAATTATATGACATATGCATGATTTATATAGATGCATATCGTTTAGGATTTACCAAAACGTAGAGCAGTTTTCTCCAGACGAAATGAACCTTAAGAGATAAAATAGTTGGGAAATGAGGCAGGCTGGGCGCGATTTACAGTACATGTATATGTAACAAATGGGGTTTTCCACCCTGAAGATTTTGATTCCTTATTATTTCTTTAATCTTTAATATTATCCTTAGGGACCAGTTCGCCCTGTCACTATCTTTACGAAGTACTGGTGCAAATGTATGATTGTCTATCTTTTCGCGCCCGATGCGGTTTTTCATTTATAATTTATTCATCGGGTAATGTAGACTTTTTTTAAAGCAAAATCCAGTCTGCGAACTGAAGTCTTGAATTTTGTTTGTATACAGTCAATAATTTACAGAGAGGTTCGATGCTTCTTTTCTTTTTTATCTTTGAATTGAAAACTTTCGCATTCTCATTTTATTGAGGCGCTGCCCGGTTGCTACCTGAAAAGGAAACTGGTTTCTTTGTACCATTTCCTTTAAAATCATTTTAAAATAATAGTGTTGGAATGATCAATATTAAGGACACTAGAAAGAGATCGATGAAGTAATGCAAGTTTATAATACAAACACACTTAATCGATTTGGGTCTACCTATCTTTAGCAATTACTGTGTGCATATATCAGTGCATCCATTTTTCTATGCTACGTTTGTTCTACAAGGTTAGAAAATACCCATCCACACTCTTTGCGTTCTCTTTACAACAAACAGGACTTTTTTAACTATGATAAGACCAAAAGCAACAAATATGATTAATCATAAATACATATGTAAAATAATCATGGAGTAAAATAAAAAAAAAAGAAAGAAAATAAAATTTGTATTTTTGAGATGGCAACGCTATACCCAAAGTACCAGGTTTGATAACCAATTATTGCATTTATTTCATTTTTTCAAAATAACCTTAATACAAAAGCAAAAAAAAAAAAAATTAAAAATCAAATGAATAAATGAATGAAGATCATAAGAACTACATACCCCATATTCACACTGAAACATGCCCTTTGTGTTCACAAACAGCTTTGTCAGAATTTTAATTTTTTAAACAATGTAGAAAACAAGATGGCCATCTGTTATGCTTGATCAGTGCACTAGAAAATGTCATGGAATTGTTGCTGTACGTGATTTTATTCCATTGATCTAATAGTCCTTTATTTAACCCAAGCCAGTAAAAAATTATCACGGTTCATAACTACATAATACATGTGTCACGTCTTCTTGGCAGCTTGTAATGTCTTGAACAATTGCCTCAGTTGTTTCTTCCTGTCCATGTGACATCCTGTAAAATGAAGTAAAACTGTTGGATAAATATATAGCATAATAAAACCAGTTGCATATAGCCAGACACTTCTCAAATGACTGGGTATCAAAGCTACAACTTTCAACCAAATGACCTTTAATCAGGAAAAAAAAAAAAAAAAAAAAAAACAATCAGTCTATTAACAGTTCAAACAAAATGTTACTCTGCTCAGTGGCATAAGATTCTGAGCCAGCCCCCCCCCCCCCCCCCCCCCCTCCTCTGCAGTTCCCCCTACCTAAGATTACTGGTAGGATTTCCTGGATTTGTGAATTTTTTTTCTGACAAAATTCCAGCCCTGGTTATTGACAACAGACAGCATTTCACAATCAAGCACTTAAAAGCAGTTAACAATCTTGCCCTATACAAGAAGTTTTTCACTGGAATATACAATAAGTTCCAAAATGTGCAGTAAAATTTCAAATCAAGTTTCTCATGTTCCATAAAGCAGAGAAGTTTCCTTATAATTTTATTTTAGTAACACTAGATCTGATATCCAGGCTTCTACTTTTTTCACTTAGAAATTAAAGAAAAATCCAAGTTACCTAAGAAAGAGTTGGTGGTATAGGTAGTTGCGTTCATGCAGTCTATCCCGCCTTCATCCCCCATCACGGGACCATCATCCCATATGAGGTCCCATGCTCCTACGTGTTTCTCCTTCCCTGTTAGTCTGGAATACAGAAGAATGGAAGAAACAAAAGTAATCTTTATAACAGAAGTATAAAACAAACCAAGGTCTGAAGCTAATAGTTCCTGCAGTGGAAATTGTCCATCATTTCCAAATGTTAGAAGATGGCGAAGAGGATTCATTCTACAAACTATAATATATAGACTTGCATAGCTGGGCCACAGGTAACAATTAAGCAAAGTCATATTCTACTAAAACTCTGTTACAAGAAAAATATGCAGGGTAATTCTATGGTATATACTGGCCAGTTGGAATTGTTTAACCATGCCATCCAGTTCATGCCTGTTTTCAAGGTCGCTAACATTGAACACACCATCTAGTATAACACTTACCTGTTTTCCAAGTCTATAACATTGAACACACCATCTAGTATAACACTTACCTGTTTTCCAAGTCTATAACATTGAAAACACCATTAAGTATAACACTTACCTGTTTTCCAAGTCTATAACATTGAACACACCATCTAGTATAACACTTACCTGTTTTCCAAGTCTATAACATTGAACACACCATCTAGTATAACACTTACCTGTTTTCCAAGTCTATAACATTGAGCACATCATCCAGTAGTCCACACTTTAATTCATAATCCTCTTTACTGCTAGCTGTAAGTGATGGAGATGCATTGATTTCTAAAAGCCAGCTGAAATGAACAATTATAAAATTTAAGTACGAATATGACATTTTTTTTTAAACATTTTTAAAACGTACTATTCAAATATATCACATTTCAAAATGACCTTTTTAAACTGAACACAAGGTTTTTGCCTATTTAGAGACAATCATTCAAATAAGATGATTACATGTATCATAGAACACATTTTTGACAGCACTCTGAACAAAATGTCACTTTAATTTTTATCATTTATATTTAGGCGATGCAATATCAACTATATAACAACATTAGTACATGCATTTTACAATGTACTTACGGTTTCAAGTTGGTATCTAAGAGGATGTCATAGCCATACATTTCAAAGCAGCGCTTGTCATTAATCATAATTTTCTGCACACTCTGTAATGTCTTTATAAAGATGTCATCCATCTGTGTGAACATTTTGGCAACCTAGAGGAGAAAAAGAAACAAGAATCAATATTTTTGAAAAAAATTTTCAGAATTTTCATGCTTTCTCATTGCAGCAAGTCTATTCAACACACAGACATTTTTAATTTTAACAATATACGAAATCCTTGTCCCCACGTTTTTTTTTTTTTTTAACTTTTTCTGCACCGCACTTAACATGCTGTGAACATAACTGAACAATTAGAAAACAAAAACTATGCAAAGATTTCACTCACTGCCTCCATTCCATGTTTTGCTGTGAGATATCTGCGAAGTTGCTGCATTGACCACTTGTTTCCTTTCTCCGGGTCATAGTCTGGGGCAGTCTTCTGGACGGCTACATTGGTCAGATGGACATCTGGACATAGGAGTGGAGGAGAAACTTGGTGGACAATTTTTTGGAATAACATATACAGATAAGCCATGTCTTAATTGTGAAATCTAGCATCTTATCATTTTCTCAAAAAAGTCCCCAAGACAAATATATCAACACGACTACATCATGTATTGCAATTTTTCATTGTTGTAGCTATCATCCGATAATGCACTCTTAAATTATCTTAAAATATCATGAGTAACTACATGTACCTGGGTTACATTTCTCTTTCAACATATATGTCTGATTCAATGCTTTTTCATGAGAGATATTTAAAAGCTCCCATGCCAACTGCTGCAAATCTGAGCAATATGGTTTTGTGTCAATAATGTAAAAACAATTGATACAAATCATGTTTTTCTTTTTAGAAAGGATACAAGTATCATCAATTGCATCCAGGGAAAATCTTGTATTGGAGAAACGGGCAAAACCTCCTCGATACAGCCATGCCTTGAGGGGGGAATACTGGAAATAAACGGCAAATAAAATTACTTTCACAATGAAAATTGAAATGTTTGACAGTTATAAAGATTTGCCATTTAATTATTTTTTCAAACAATACTTTCTATCATGTCACTATATATCATGTCTTCCAACTCATTTTATATTCAGTTTTGACATGGGGGGGGGGGGGGAGAAGGGTTAGAAAGAACATCTTTTTAGGTCAGAAAAGGTCTGCTCTCAAAATTTGAACCAGGTTCGATGTACTGTATGCCACTTCTCAAGCTGGGTCAACTAAGCAGGTAAAAAGGACATCTCTTTAGCAAAAAGCACCCTTCTCATTTCTGGCTACAGGCATGTTATATATACATGCAGAATCAAGAAAACTGAGCTTTATTTGAAACACTTACCGAAGTGACAAGAACATAAACCCTGAGATCAAACTTCCTTCCTCCCACCACATACGGGTTTTCTATGTACCTCTGGACAACATATGCCTCTGGAGCCTCTTTGTTTGGGTCAGGTTCTCTCTGGTACTCTCCCTTGTTATGAGATAGACATTACTTTATTAACAGCTTTAAGCAATGCAGAAATGCAGGAAACTTAGTGAAAAAAAAAAAAAACCCTGACAATAATGAGAACCAACCATGGATTAATAAGATTTTCCCTTTGACAATAAGTAATATAGACCGCACAGTGCAGTAGCAATAAAATATGGGGAAAACAGTAATTAATGGTAAGCTGTCAAGAAAAAAAGGCTTTAAATTTATAATATTTAAATAACTGCACAATTTAAAACTTTTAAATGTATCACATGACAAAATTCTGGTGGCCTCAGTAACAAGTACAAAAAAAAAAAAAAATTAAATAAATAGAAGGATAAAATAAAATAAATGTGTACACCTTGTTAATTTTATAAATCGTCTGAAAAAAGAGAATAATCTTATCTGTATGTCTGGCAAGAAAAGAGATCAGAAAAATTCTTATGCTTTTTTAGTAGTTGGTTTGTTTTATCATGAGGAGATGCTAGCTATAGGCCCATAGTCATATACATGTATACATTTTCAGGCAATTAATATTTACCTTTTTCCAGTCTGTTATATCTTTGAGTTTTCTGAATAAAAAGATTCCCTTTCCTTGAGATTTTGCTATTGGCTTCATAATCCATATTACTCCCGGGTTTCGTTTGAACTCTTCAACAAATATGTGATACTCAGACTGAAAAAGGAAAGTAGTCCAGATTTAAAATACCAGCCTGAGGTCAACTGGCATCAATATCTAAATTTTTCTTCATTTTTAATTTATTTATAACAAAGGTAACATTTTTCTGAATTAGACTGTTTGGATAATAAGCTATTATAAAGAGCCCATAATAAAAAAGGAAATTAAAATGAATGGTAAAGAACCAAAGGATCTATTAAGGAATGAATAAACTCTCAATATCATGCAATTTTTGGGGAAGAGGAAATTACATTATATCTATATCTGTACTTATCCTATTTTCTCTGAATAAATTCATAACATTATAAAATGTGTTACATGGCCAAATTCATACTTACAGGCAATTCATAAGTTGCTGGGAAAAAATCAAATCTGTTCTTATGTTAAGGTAAATCATATTATATTTGTAACATTTAGTAAATATGTATATTTAATCCTAAATGCAGCAATTGTGAGTTATATTGATGATTTTTTTATCAACAAAAAGAGGTATAATAAAGAGTTATGTATTTAAAGGTCCAATGATGTACCAAATAATTATAATACATTATCTGATATACAATGTGATGTGATATTATAGTAAATGGGGCTTAAGAAAGATAATTAATTAAGGAATGACAAATAATTTGCATTAGACCTTTAAAAAAATTAGGGAAATCTCAGCAATTTTTCCTTTATACCCAAGGTACAATGTATACCCTACCTAAAGCTGTTGAGAAAATGTATCTATCAACCCACATTTGACCTAGATCTTACCAGTACCTTCTGATTTCAGGGCCGTAGCCTCCGGGGGGGCAGGGGGGGCAGCTGCCCCCCCTGGGATTTGAGGTGCAAAAAAAATAATCGCAATTTCTGACTTCTGATTGAGCAATAAATAACAGCTAAAATGCACCAGAATGCAGTATTATACATACAGTTTTTAAAAATTTTCCACACCGTGGGAGGGGGACACCCCCCTTGGTGGCTTCGCCCCCTCGTGTCCGCTTACTGCCTCCCCCTGGCAGTTTGCTCAGGCTACGGCCCTGGATTTTAATCATCAACAGTAAAGTTTACCAGCCTCCTTTTTTTTTATATAATAGGGAATCAAAATTAAAAACTAAGAGCTAAGAATACAGTTCTCAGATCATTATTTTATCAAATGTTTTGTGTGTGAGTTAACTTTGTGAAAAAAGAAAGATGGCTGAAATTTCCAATAATATTTTGGCTATATAAAGATCTACTGCTCATTGTGCGACTTTACTGGACATGATCTGCAGTCAAAGGATACGAAGCTGCTTCTATCTTTCCCTGCTCCCTCTCCACCTGTTTTCTCATCCTCTTCAAATTTTTTACCATTAAATTTTTTCTTGTAAGCTGAAATGACAATCATTTAATATTTATTTGCTTTAGATTTATTGAGTATATTTTCATATGGAACATTAATTCAATTTCAAATAATAAACTAATAGTTATAATAATTATAATAACAAATTTTATTTAAAAAGGGTAAAACATGTTACATTAAGATTTTAATTCAAATATAGAACATTTTTTTTAAGTTAATGATGTAACATGAATATCCTTGTAAGAGTTTCTTATTCTATTATTAGTGCAAACATCTTTTTAAAGAACAAGGAGAATTACGTAAATTAAAATATTCCGTATTTTTAAATCTACATACAAACCTCAAAATGGTTCCTAAAATGACAAATCTTTACATGTTCTGGAAGATATATATGGTCATAGTTTTCCTTCAGCCACTCCCTGTCACACCAGTAGAAGTCCCAATCAGAGTTGTCCCTGCAACACAATTTAATTTCTCAACTGCATCACACCTAACACAATACAGATTCATATTCAGAAGTCCCACTCACTCTTAGCATTCAGGCTGACTTTAAAATGATCCAATGCCAGTTCTGTGCAAGGTCTCAAGAGGTCCATACAAACACAGTTTGGTATTTTAAACAAACCTTTACATTATAAGTTATCCAACTTGTTATATGAGTTGCAATAAACAAACTAATATATCATATCAGTTATCACTATTGTAATAGAAGTAGCAGGACTACAAGGATGTCCTACCACACCAGACAGGGAAGCCTCAATAATCCAAAGGTTCATTGGTCCGTAAAATCGTTTGAACCTGCCTCTGATGAATTTTACTTTATTACCAGTACACTATACACTTTATTTATGCATCAATTTGGCCTATTAAACCTTCGGACTGAATCTTTGGGCTAATGCTACAGCCCCCAACAGTATATAAATCCATGACCACCTCCTTCACATGTTATATTTTCCTTGGACTTGAATAAACATTAAAATTCAAAAACAGTCATTTCTGAGCTTGCCTGTCTGCCAATGGCCTTACCCTGTCACCTCCTGCCATCCCCGTGCTCTCAGCACATCCAGTATGGTGTTCTGTAGGCCACACCTGAACCGCACAGTGCGGTCCCCAATGCCTTTCTTCAGGGAGCTCCTGCTCATGTACCCTGGCATCTATGGAATACAGGGTGTAAAATAATAATAATAATAATAACAATAATAAATCCATTTCATCAATTGTTCAATGGCTGGTTATTTCTGCTACAGTGTACATGTACAGTACGTGTACTGGTACTTAGTTCTGGTAGATCATTACTAGTAATATCTATACCGATAGAGTCTAAAATCCATTGACTAGAAGACTAAAATCTACATTAAGACTCTTAATAAGAGGTACAGCAGAGGACTAACATCATTACAAATTCAGAAATAAAGCTAATCTAACTTGAAATACCTACTGAATGAATGTTTTATAAATTATAATATTATTCAGATTAACATCTTGTGCGAGATTAATCCGTTTATTAAGGAACCAAGTTACTAGCAATTTCATATGGAGTATTCTGGCGATGTACAGTGACTATTGTCATCTAGTATGGTATCATACCAGTTGTTTCATGCGCCTACTATATTCATCAACCCATAAAGCCGAATAAGTCAGAATTTACCGTAGCCTGTGACAGCCGATTTTACAAAACCATTTAAAAATGCAGTCACTGTGTTTTATGCGAAAAAACTGCTTATTGAGACAATGTAACAGCCTAAAAGAGAAATAGGAGACTGAAAGTAACCCCAAAAGGCGTGTTCATAAAGCATAATATTTGTTTGGAGTTTCTACAGAATGCGTTGTCAATGTAAACTATGCGAGTTGCCGCCATGTTGCCCCTGTTTGAAGTAACGTTAACAGCAACAGCATCGTTTGAAACAAATGTTTGTTTTCATTCCTCTGTTTTTATGAGGCACGATCTCAACAAATATAAGATTCCGTGTATCACACAGAAAGCTTACTTACCTTGCTTGTACTGCTGGTTTTCGACATTTTTTCAATCGATGGCGTGAAGTACCGACTTCAACAAGTACGGGTAACATCCAAACAACGTACGTGCCTCAAGAGGCCCCGCTTCAGCAGGCAGCTCCACGCGCTCTCGCAGGACTGACATTTTATGTAGGTTGTACTCACTTAAAATATGCAATATGCACACTAACTATTTCTGTTTGTTACTTAACTAAACAATTTTGAAAAACTCACGTCTTTGTTTATTTCAAATTGATTTTATTGCTCATGGATTTGTCATGGCATGTTTTTTCTATCAAAAAGTGCAGACATTTTTATTAATGATATATAAATAGACATTTGAACACCGACTTTTGTAAGCCATTTTATTGTTACATAACAAATTTACTGATTATGAGCTAACCACTTACAAGCAAACTATTTACTGTGATACTTTTCTAAATAACACTGACTTAATTTGGCATTTCAGTAGAAAAACCAATCCAAGAAAAATACATTTAACCAAAATAATGTGAGCATCCATCCCACTTTTTTCTTTATCATCATTTGTAATATTACTTATATTTGCAATATAAGTCATGACATATTTACTAAGACACAGACAGAAATACAGTTTTGGGATTAACTTAATTTATCACGTACCTTGCACGAGGTTTAAGTTCACATAATAAAATATTTCACATAATAGCAATCTCTGCTTATATATAAATAGAGATCTCTGCTTGAATAGATTGATTTACTGCTGCACATAAAAATATATATTTACGCTTAAAGCACCAATAATGTGTCAAATAAAGGCAATGATAATTGTGACAGGTGTGTCACCAGTGCCATCAATGGCAGACACTGACTTATCAAGTTGTTCAGTTAATAACTTGGACACAAAAACTAAAAAAATTGTCAATTTTCAGAATTCCACTTTATGAATGAATCTTTCAGATGTAACCATTCTGTTCTCCAAACCTCATCTTTTAGGTTGAAGGCGGGTTCCTGGAACAGAAAAGTGGAATTTTGGTTTTACTCAGAAATGATATTAAAATATATCATTTGATATAAAGAGGCACATTTTGTTCATATAGTCAATATAACAACAGGTACTGGAATAACAGTTCTGGCAATGTAGTACTTAGTCTAGTTTCCAAAACCTTCAGTTCACAAAAATAAACAAAACCAAAAAAAAACAAGGAAATTAAGCATCAATCATCCTGTGCTGACCAACTTTCAATTTATTTTCTTTTCCATCTTACATTTCACCTTGGATGAAATTTTTCAAAAAAAAAAACTTACAACTTCACTGAACTAATCCGCTTCCCTTTTCGAAGTTCTTTCTTTCAAGCACAGTGTAAAGGAACAGACACCAAACCATGTCACAAAAAAAAAAAATGTAAATTACAAAAAACAATATCTCCTAACTTACAGCAAGGCATTGCACATGTGAGGGTAACCATTGTCTCTGAGGCCCTCACAGAAAAGGTGGAAAGCTCGGTCACCTTTCCCAGGCAACATATCCAGAAGTCTTGCCACCATATCTGGGGTGTCTTCAGTTGAACCAATACATCTGATATCCTCCATCTCTCTGTCTGATAATACCTGGATATGGGAAATTCACCATTACCCATGACATAAGAAGATTTATTTTAAATTACATATAAGTAATAAATTTTCTGTTAAACTTATGAAATTCATGCTTGTACCATACATCTCACAGTTTTTTCATTGCATCATCTCAAACAAATTTCATCTTATCAAAATAGCAATTTCAGTTGATATCCATTTTATCATACCACTCTTGAATTCATATGGGTAGTTTCAATATTAATGGACCTATAAAGTATGAACATGTTATATACACAAATATAAGGATCTACATTATTGTAATGTGGCTTACCCCTTCCTGGTTGAGCCAATCTAAAATATTCTTTACGGCTGGTTCGGTTGTATCATGGACAATGTTCAGCCTCATTCTCCGCAAGGCTTCACGGTTGGTTCTGGTCATGAACCCCAGGTCTGAAACACAATAAATATTAATACCCCCTTTACACTGGACAGCGTCCTTTCTGCGACCATGAAATTTGGCATCGCTGTGGTCTTAATAAGGAGGCAAGAGCACTGATTTTGTATCAGAATGAATGCTCAATGATCGGCCAGTTGTCGGCACGTAAAATATTACAATTTTTAAACTCTCAAACGGGGCCGTACTGCTGGACGCAGAAACGACGCCGTCTACTGTAAAGGGGGCTTAAGTAATTGCTTACAAGAAGTAATTTTGCTGATCTTAGCTTTAAACTCTCAGTAGGTGAAACTGTGGGCTAGTTCTTGTTGACATGGGTACGTTAACAACTTTTAGTCTTTTAGTCTTTTAGTCTCAGACACACTGTATAGTTGGGAACACCATTTTAATTTTTTTTCAGTATTCAGCAAATGCTTCATATCGAACAAAGACATATAAGAATTACCTGGTGCATATGGGGTCACCAGGAAGGCAGGAATCAAACAGGAGGGAGGGGCATTCTGGCACGGAAAGTTTTCTGCTGAGACTTCATATTGCTTCAGGACTTCTGCTGGGAATCGAGTGCAGCTGTCTTCAGCCACCTGTGTTTGAACACAGTGAGGGCACACAAGGTACATATCATATATCACACCAGGCCATTCTCTGTCCACAAACATGCCCATCTGCTCGGACATCTTAATCAAGAACGTCCACATTGGAGGAAGTCGGGGCCCTCTGATGGCAAACACTATACGGTTGCTGGAGCGCCTCAGGAGGATGTGGTCATGTGCCACCTGTGAGACGATACCATCCAGCCAATCTTCACGAGTTGTCTTGAAGATGCCCAGATGTTTGTGAAGTGCCACGGAGGTTCTCTCAAAGAAACCAATGGGACATGGCACATTGAAGTGTACTTCCAAGGTCAGCTGTGTCTGTTCAGGGGGCACCTGGTCTGGCCAGCGGGTTGCCAAGGTATCAGGGATGTCAGATGTCAACAACCAGGGGAAATGAAGGCTGAGGCTACCACCTTCAATCTCTGGAGGTACTTCATAGCATAGCTCCAGGTGAGTAAGCAGACAACGCATGGTATCCACCTCTTGGTCCTTCATCTTGAAATCATCCCAAAGGCACTGAAGAAGTTCTTCACTGACGATCCCCCGCCGCAGTAAATCTTCTTTCACTTCTCTAAGTTTGGCTGGTGTAAACCGAAATTGGTAAGGTGGGGTGTTTGGGTTCACAACCTCTGCCATATCATGACGGAAAACAGCCTTGAGGAGTTCTAACACGATCTCTTTCTTGTGGAAGATGGTGTGGCGAAGACTGTTGCTGTCCTCAAACCACATCACATGACCTGCCTCTTTCATGTAAGCCATGACATCATCAGCATTTACAGTGGTCCACAGTCGCTGCAGCATTGCACCATCCAAGTAAATAGGTGGCTCCAGTTGAGCCCTAAGTACAGCATCAACCATGTCAAACCAGGTTTCTGGTAGAATGACCCCTCTGTCTCGCGCCAATTCTTGAAGGTACTGGTCAAGTTGATCAATGCCCTGTTTAGTCTTTGAGCTGATTACATAGGGCTGGGGTGCAACTGTAGGGAGCTTCGTGAGCAGAGTCTCCACCTGGGCTTGCTTTTCTTCATATGCCATCTTCAAAGCCTCCCCTTCTTCAGTTTGGAAATTTGGTAGCTGTTCTACCCTGCGTATCTTTGTCGCTATACTATGAGCTTGCGCCTGCAGGCTGCCTTGTCGGTTTGTCAACAGTGTTTCCATGGCGTTATTAAGGTGAGCAATCTTCCTTTCTATATCCTCGTCAGTGCAAATATCAGCATGTGTTGCCACTGGGATGAGATGTGCCTCTGGTGCCTTCCCAAGAACACATTCGATCCACGAACCAACCAAAATGTCAAAGGAGTTCTCCTCATACACTTTAAGGTCTAAAACCAACAGCACCACAGCCCTTGGGGTGAGGAAGAAATTGGGAACTATTCTATAAACTTCATGCCCTCCAAAATCATTGATATGGAGGCTGACTTCCTCCTGTGGGGTATATGTCACCTGGTCTACCACTCTTGTCCTATCCGCCATTGCAGTGAGACTGGATTGTCCCGAGGTGAGGGTTCTCACCAGGCTGGTTTTCCCAGCTGTGGTTTCACCCAATACGTGGAGTTGTAATCGCGCAGTCTTAATGGCACGAGATGCTCGGAGATCTCTGAGGTAGCGGTGAATTGCTTCAATGCCTCTCTCACAAACAGACATTGGGGGCTGAATGAGGGGATTTTCATCAAGTGACAATCCCCGTTTGATTATGTCCTTCTCGAGCAGATGCTTCAGCTGGTCAAACATCTCTGGAAGATGACTTAATTTGTTCTTCGATAGGTCTAATGTTCGGAGTAGACTCAGGTGGCAAACTTCATCTGGTAACTCTGTCAGTTTGTTCCCTCCCATATACAACTCTCGTAGTTTGAACAAGTTTCCGATCTCACCAGGGATTCTTCTTAATGCATTTTCATGAAAAGACAAAATTTCAATATTTGAAAGTTCACTTTGACAGACTGGCATTATGTCACATATGGCATTATGGGCAAAGTATAATTTGCATAAAGCCACCAAATGTACAATTCCATCTGGTATTGCAGTAATCTGGTTGCCAGACAAATCCAATTCTTTCAAACTGACGAGATCTTTTATATCTTGTGGAATTTCTGTAATTTGGTTCCCATTAAGATATAAAAATTCAAGCTTCTTCATCTCTTTGCAGCAGATTTCCTCGAATGATGTCAAATTTGCATTGGATAGAGAAATCCTTCCCAGATTCTTTAGATTCTTAATCTCTTTTGGTATGCCATGAAGCTTATTTGAACCAAGGTGGAGACTTTCCAAAGATGATAAGCTACAGAGCTGTACAGGGAATGATGTAAGCTGATTGTTTGAAATGTTCAAATACTTCAGTTTTGGCAGATTTTGTATACTATCAGGAATATCAGTCAATCTGTTGTTCTCTAGGTTGACATCCTCTAGTGCAGCAATATTGAAGAGAGCATCTGGTAGACTTTCAAGCTGAGCCTTAGGCAAATGCAGTTTATAAAGCCGTGTCAAGTTTTGAATTTCTTCAGGTATTGAGATTCCATAAACACCATATCCCAAATGTAACAAACGTACATTCTGACATTTACCTATGGAAGGAGGAAGCAAGTTGTCATCTATAAGAATAAGATAATCAATCGCATGCCATTCTTGGATTTCTTTCAATTGTTCATCACTGTGATGTTTTTCCCTATCAATCTGTAAAAGGGTGTGAAGCCTTTCCCGCATCATTTTTAACCAGCCAATTCTTGACTCTGTCATATATCTTACATATTCTGGTGAGACTACTCCTTCCACTGTGGATGAATCATCAGAACTTCTGGCTTTTAACCCAAGCCTTCTTCCTGCTCTGGATAAAAGTGATCCTTAATGAACAAAAAAGAAGGCCAGGTTATTATTCATATAATTTCTTTAATATGTTTCATGTTACTATATTCATCTTCAGCAATAATTTTAAAAGCATCATATTGATTTTGTTCATGAATGATATACTTTCTATAATTGACAACTAGGCAAAAAATGAGCTAGAATTAGAGAAATGTACAATGAAAAACATACTGAATTCTCTTTTTAATACTGTTTTTTTCTTCATAAAATTTACAATCTTAAAGTGAACTTTAAAGAAAATTAAATATACTATATTCTTTGGAAAAGATTTCAACTCAAATGACAATATGAAAATTTAATACATTTAAAAAGCATACATATATTTCATCAGAAATATATTATCAAATTCATGAACAAACATACCAAAAGAATCCATAAAGGATGGCTTCTTTTTCCTTTTCCTTCTTCCCTGAATATGAATAAGTTAAAGACTTTAAAACAAGTACGTAGCTATAAAATGCCAATATATGTTACGAAAATACCCTTACTGGTACCTTATATAGTAAGCTATCAAATTTATTTAAGGGGCCCGCACACGGTGAGCACTTGGCGCGCGCCGTTTTCTCGTTGTTTGCAGGGTTATTTTGGTGAGATTTTTTCCTCTCGCGCGGCTGAGCAAAATATCTCACGTGTTTGATATTTTTGGTCTCTTGAGGCAAATGGCTCAGCGTGTGCGGGGTGCAAGCGCCGATTGCTCAAGGCATGCCAACAATGCGCATGTGCCGGTAGCCGGAAACAAACAAAAATGGCAGCCCCCACCGAAGTCAACAAAAATGTACACAGTTATAGTTAATCTGATTGATTAACGTGGTCACCATTTTCCATTACTACCAGAAAAAACAACAATATGTAATGTTTCCTTAAACACATGATCCCACAGTTTACGGTACGTCCGATAAGGGCGGGTCGGGAGGCACCTTTGCTGAGCAAAGAACGCAGTGTTTGAGGGGAGCTGAGGAGCGTGAGCATCTGGCGCAGCGCAAGTCGCGCGTGGCAAATGCTCACCGTGTGCGGGCCACTTAAAAGGACACAAAAGAGGATTTTCGCACCAAAATTGATTTATCCCGATTTATCCTGAGGTTAACAGTACTTTTCCGCGATTTACCAACCTTTAATCTATCATTCCCGGCACTCGCCATCGCTCTGTAACATTTTTGGAAAATACAATAAAAAGAAAACCTCCGCTTAAGCGGAGGTTTACCAACAACCACCTCCATTTTCATTATTGAGCTCTCTAGACTTCCGGATATCGCGAGATTCTCGTATTGCGACCTAGTTAAAACTAGTTCAAGCTGCCGGGAAAGCACATGGAACAGGAGGCTGAATTAGTTGAGACTCCATCGAAGAAGGGAAGAAAGATAACAAAAAGAAAAAGGAAACACTCTTTACAAAAGTCAACACCAGAAAAATAAAATGCGCGTAAAACAGTGTATCAGCAAATGTACGACAGGCAAACAATAAACACCGGCGAGGAAGAAGGCAGATGAAAACCTGCTTGCATAGATGGCCATGGATACGAAGGATCGCCTGGCCGCGAAGTATTTACTGGATTTGTGAGTACCATTTACAATTATGTTTGAAATAAGACACCAGTAAAAATATTTATTAAGCACAGAGATTAATGTTTATTTACGTGTGTTCGTTGTATTTCTTAACGATTGTCAGGCTCGTCTGTCAAAATATGCCATGAAATTGTAACTAATCGATATGAGTGGTATCGATAACAGGAATTACAAGTGTTGCTCATATGTCGACTCTGACAGGGTTTGGGTAAGTTTATACAGCAAAGAAAGTTTAAATGGAAATGGACATGGTGGGAGATACTGCATGGTTTCATTACATGTACATTACCATGGCCAGGGCGAATTGTTGACTTACCGAGGGCACATTCTTGTGCCTCTTACATCTGGGCATACAAAACACAGTAATTAAGACGTATGACCAAGATGCTATTTCTTTAGGCATCTTAATCCCAAAATGAATGTGCAGAAGCTGTTATTGTATCTAAGTTTAACTCAGTTTTAAATGGCATGTCAACTATAATTGTAAATATCTTTGAATAGTATTTTGATTTTATATTCTAAAGGCAATTAAGTTTCCTTTTTACATTAAAAATAAATAAACAAATAAACAAATAAATCAGAAAGGGGATATTGCATGTTTATGTTTAGTACATCTGTAAATGGATAAATAGTCCAGAGTAATAATTTAGATCATTCAATTTTTACTTTAGAGTCCAACCAGTATTTCGGAGATTAAACCAATATGAAGTGATCAAGAAACTTCAAAATTAAGTTGTAGTTAATACTAGTGCAGTTGAAGATGACAGTCTAGATAATTTAAGGTGATCATATTGAGAAAAATGGCATTTATACTCTTTTCAGTTGAATTTTATACTTATTTCAGTTATGTTTTTACATGATTTTTCTCAAACTTGATTATCTTAATTTTATGTACTGTTGCTTTTTTTTGGTTGCAGTATCAAGGTAACTTTTTCCTATGGGATGCCTGAACTGGAAGAAGTGCAGATGGAAGAAGAGGAAGATGCTGAAGAAGAGGGAATT